CCTGTATCTTATCAGATCACCATGCTTTAAAGTTAGAATTCAACAACAACATGAATTACAGAAAACCTACAAACTCATGGAAATTAAGTAACAACCAATTGCACAATTCCTGGATTGAGGAAGAAATAAAAAAGAAATTAAAGATTTCCTAGAATTCAATGAGAATGTGGACCCAACATAACCAAACGTATGGGATACTTTGAAAGCAGTGCTAAGAGGAAAATTCATAGCGCTAAATGCCCACATGAAGAAACATGAATAATCACATTAGAGAATTAACAGCACAACTGAAAGCTTTAGAAAACAAAGAAGCCAATACACCCCAGAGGAGCAGGCACCAGGAAATAATCAAATTTAGGGCTGAAATCAATAAAATGGAAACCTGGAGAACAATACAAAGAATCAATATAACAAAGAGTTGGTTCTGAGAAAATCAACAAGATAGACAAACCTTTATCCAAACTTACCAAACAGCACAGAGTGAACATACAAATGAAAAAGGAGACATAACAACAGACACAGGAAATCCAGAGAATCATCAGGTCATACTTTGAAAATCTGTATTCCTCAAAATTCAAAAATCTAAAGGAAATGGACAATTTTCTGGACAGATTTCACTTACCAAGATTAAATCAAGAACAGATAAGCAACTTAAATAGACCTATAACCCCTAATGAAATAGAAGCAATCATCAGAAGTCTCCCAACCAAAAAAGCCCAACGCCAGATAGCTTCAATGCAGAATTCTACCAGAAATTCAAGAAACAGTTTATAACAATTTTCCTCAAAGTATTTCACACAATAGAAGCAGAAGGGCCATTGCCAAACTCTTTTTATGAGGCTTCAATAACCTTGATACCCAAGCCACACAAAGACACAACTAAGAAAGAGAACTACAGACAAATATCCCTCATGAACAATAATGCAAAAAAAAATCTCAATAAAATACTGGCAAATCGAATCAAAGAACACATCAGAGAAATCATCCACCATGATCAAGTAGGCTTCCTCCCAGGGATGCAAGGATGGTTCAACAAACGAAAATCCATCAATGTAATCCGCCATATAAACAGACTGATGAAAAAAAAAAAAAAAACAACAACACATGATCATCTCACTGGATGCCGAAAAATACTTTGACAAAATCCAACACCCCTTCATGATAAAGGTCCTGGAGAAATCAGGGATAACAGGAACATACCTCAACAGAATAAAAGCAATATACAGCAAGCCAACAGCCAACATCAAATTAAATGGTGAGAAACTTAATGCAATTCCTCTAAAATCAGGAACAAGACAAGGCTGTCCATTCTCTCCATACCTCGTCAATATTGTCCGTGAAGTTCTAGCTAGAGCAATAAGACAACAAAAGGAGATCAAGGGGATAAAATCGGAAAGGAAGAAGTCAAACTCTCACTATTTGCAGATGATATGATAGTCTACATAAGTGACCTTGTACCATAAGAATTTTGACTCTCTAAAGAAAGAAATTAAAGAAGATACCAGAAAAATGGAAAGATATCCCATGCTCTTGGACAGGTAGGATCAACAAAATAAAAATGGCAATCTTGCCAAAAGAAATCTACAGATTCAATGCAATCCCCATCAAAATCCCAACACAATTCTTCACAGACCTTGAAAGAACAGTTTTCAACTTTATATGGAGAAACAAAAGACCTAGGGTAGCCAAAACAACCCTGTACAATAAAGGAACTTCTGGAGGCATCACCATCCATGACTTCAACTCTTTTACAGAAATATAGTCCTGAAAACAACTTGGTATTGGCACAAAAATTGAAAGGTAGACCAATGGAATAGAGTTGAAAACCCTGATATTAACCTACACACCTACAGACACTTGATTTTTTGACAAAGAAGCTAAAATTATACAATAGAAAAAGGAAAGCATCTTCAATAAATGGTGATGGCATAAGTGGATAGCATGTAGAAGATTGCAGATAGATTCATAACTATCACCATGCAAAAAATCTTAATTTTAAATGTATCAAAGATCTCAATATAAATCCAGCCACACTGAAACTCTTAGAAGAGAATGTCGGAAGTAACTTTAACCTCAATGATAGTTTATCCTGGAGAGGATGTGGAGAAAGGTGAACACTCCTACATTGCTGGTGGGAGTGCCAACTTGCACAGACACTTTGGAAATTGGTATGGCAACTCCTCAGGAGAATGGGAATCAATCTATCACAATATCCAGCAATTCCACTCTTAGGCATATACCCAAAAGAAGAGGGCTGATCTCCAAAATATACAAAGAACTCAAGAAGCTAGTTTCCAAAACACCAAGCAATCCAATTAAAAAGTGGGGAACAGAACTAAATAGACAATTCTCAATAGAGGAATCTAAAATGGCAGAAAGACATAAGAAAGTGTTCACCATCCTTAGCCATCAGGGAAATGTAAATCAAAACAACTCTGAGATACCATCTTACTCCTGTCAGAATGGCCAAAATCAAAAAACACCAATGACAATTTATGCTGGAGAGGATGTGGAGAAAGGGGAACACTTCTTCACTGCTGGTGGGAATGCCAACTTGTACTATCACTTTGGAAATCAGTATGGTGACTCCTCAAAAAAATGGGAATCAGTCTACCACAAGATCCAGCAATTCCACTCTTAGGCATATGCCCAAAAGAAGCACAGAGTAAATATGATACATTTACATAGGGGGGGGCAATGGAATCTTGAAATTTGCAGGCAAATGGATGGAACTAGAAGAAACCATTCTGATCGAGGTAACCCAATCACAAAAAAGACAAACATGGTATGTACACACTCATATGTGGATTTTAGACATAGAGTAAGGGATTACCAGCCTACAATCCACACTGCCAGAGAAGCTAGTAAACAAGGAGGACCCCAAGAGAGACATACATGGTTCCCTGGAGTTGGGGAAAGGGTCAAGATCCCCTGAGCAAGTTGGGAACACGGGAAGAGGGGGGAGGGAGCTAGGAGAATGAGAAGGGGAGAAGAGGAGGGATGCAGAGGACACGAGGGAGCAGAAAGGTTGAGTCAGGGGAAGAATAGAAGAAAACAAGAATGGAGATACCATAATAGAGGGAGACATTTTTGGTTTACAGAGAAATGAGGCACTAGGGAAATGTCTGGAGATCTACAAAGATGACACCAGCTAACAGTCTAAGCAACAGAGGAGAGGCTACCTTAAATGCCCTCCCTTGATAATGAGATTGATGACTGACTTTTATTCACTCTGATAGCCTTCATCCAGCAGCTGGTGGAAATAGAAGCAGACACCCACAACTAACCACTGAACTGAACTGGAATCCAGATGCAGAGAAGGACGAGTAAAGAGCAAAGGGGTCCAGATCAGGCCGGTGAAACCCACAGAAACAGCTGACCTGAACATCGGGGAACTGTTGCTCCCCAGACTGGGATACTAGCATTGGACTGATCCAGACCCCAGGAACATGGGTTTCAGTGAGAAAACCTCGGAAATCTACGGGACCTCCTGTAGTAGTTCAGTACTTATCCCTAGCATAGGTGTGGACTTTGGGAGCCCATTCCACATAGAGGAATACACCCTGAGCCAAGACACACGGGGGTGGGCCTAGGCCCTATCCCAAAGGATATGATTGACTCTGATGACACCCTATGAAAGGCCTCACCTCCAGGGGGATCAGAAAGGATATGTGATAAGGGAGGGTTTTAGTTGGGGGGGGTGGTAAGGCAGGAGGGAGGGAGAAGGGAACTGGGATTTTCATGTAAGACAATCTTGTTTCTAATTCAAATAAAAAAATCTGCAAAAAAAAATAGGTATTCTGCATGGGTGGACAATGCTTCTTTTGAGAGACATAACGGGAAATCTCAGTGACAAGAACAGGATACCTCTCTGTGAGTTATTGGGGTCAGGAAAGCTGAAGAGACACCCTAAATTATAAGATCACTAGATGTAAGATTTTATTACTGAAGACATACCACACTTCAGTTGCAAGATGGAGAAATCAAGCCATAAATGAGGTGAAAAATTTCTCCCTGATGGTAGCTTTTATAGGGTTAGAAGATGCTATGTAAGACACTGGGGGAGAAAGGCAATCAATGGTATTACCCAGGAGTGAATCCTTAATGCTACAATATTGACATGGCAGGTGAGATGTGCCCACTGAAGTAAGAGTGGCATGCATGTTATAGGGGTAACCAAAAGCTTTCTGGTTTGACTTGAGGACTGCTCCAAAGAAGGTGACTCATGCCTAAGACTGCAAACATGGTCCAAAGCTCATGACTTTGGAAGTCATAGGCCCTCGTGGGGAACTTACTATTATTATTTTGCTAAATGAATATGTTGTTAAGCTGCCTCCTAATCATTTGTTTATATCCATAGGTTAGAGCTATTATCAGCCTTGGCCAGAGGAGCTTCTGCAGTGGGCAGTAGTTAATGAAGAGACTCGTAATGATCAAAGTTCTGAGAATAAGTGATTTCTGAGTGCTTGTCCCTCAAAAGGCGTCTCCATCACCCTTCCTCCCAGACTCAGGGGTTATCATGGTAGAGGGGGCAGAAAAAATATGAGAACTGGAGGACTGGGCGGAGGGCTATGACATGATATGGTCATTGAACTCATGAACTCACTATAGCTATGGTTACCTGTGTAAGGATTCAGGCATTATGCTGGCCTGCCCCTGTCACATGGCAGAATGCACTCAGGCAGCACCTGGTATCCCCCTCAATAAAACTTCCAATATGAGTCAGTCTACAGGCCTCTGTTTCCCCACCCACCTGCCATCCGTCCCAGGATGGAGATCCTCGTGGTCCCATCACGGGCCCAGGGACCTGCCATTCTAACCCACTCTTCATTATTCATAACAACCTGCATAGGATCAAGCCAACAAGATCAGTCAACGTTATACCAGGCAGCACCAACTGGACTCAGTAGGTTACCCATCACCACAAAAGAAGAAGTCAGAAAGGTGGGAGGTGTGTTAGAAAAGGTGTCTGGAGGGAATGAAGACTTGGGAGTGGACACTGTATACAGGTATGTAATTGTCAACAAATAGATTAAGGATACTCTTAAAAAAAAAAAGAATGATCCAGGATAGCCAAAGCATTCCTAGTAAAGAAAAAGCAATCACTGGTAAAGACATCCCAAAACCTTATCTTATATTACAGAAACAAAGTAACAAAGCCAGCATGGATCTGACACAGAAACAGACATATAAACACTCTTAGGGTTTCTATTGCTGTGATAAAACCAACCAAAATCAGCTTGAGGAGGAAAGGCAGGAACCTAGAGGCAAGAAATGAAGCAGAAGCCATGGAGAAATGCTCTTTCTGACTGTTCCTCCTGGTTTGCTCAATTTGTATTCTTAAACACTTCAGAACCACTTACCCACGGGTGGCACCGCCCTTCCTACATCAATCTAGAAATTGCCTGCCTAGAGGTCACTATTCTGGAGACATTTTCTCAACTGAAGTTCCCACCTGTCAAGTTGACAAAAAGCACAGAGACCAACCATATAGATTAGTGTGCTCAGAAAGAAACTACACAGCTATGGCCACCTCACTTTTGACAGAATGCTTCCTATTTGCTGGTCAGGCTTTCAGTTGCAAAGTGCAACACAGCACGGTGATGATGGGAAACTAACTGTGCCTCTCACACCTTGTCCTTTTCTTCCTTCTCCTCCTTCTTCCTTCCTCCCTCCCCCTCCCTCTGGCTTCTTAGCCCCTCCAGCTTCCATTTTGATCACCTTTTCTGAACAGCAAAAACACATGATTCCCCCATGCTCATTCTCACTGTGCTTTGAATAAACTTCGTTCTCACGTGGTGTTACTCACTTTGCCTCTTGAGTGGGCACGTGTCATCACGTCCCTAAAATTGTTTAGGGCCAGGTGACCTGACTCCCTGGGGGCAGGGCCAGGGCCAGTCATGCAGACCCAAGGCTGGGGTGCTCTGACTGGGCAGCCATACGGGTAGCCTTGTAAGGAGGGTAAGGGTCACTGCTCGGAGTTAGAAGGGTATGCTGCCCCTCCAGGTTTATCGTGGGGTGTCCAGGTGGGAAGGAAGAGCCAGAGTCAGAGCCTATGTCTCACCTCAGCCAAGGCGGGGAGCCTGAGTCTGAGTCCACCTTGCCTAGAACAGGAGTGGTGTGACTTTCCGTCACCCACTGGGCAGCAGGATGATGCTGGCAGTAGTTCACAGGGCAGCTGCTGGCTCCGGGTCTGCCAGGAGCATGTCCGTCTCTTTTGGGGCTTGTGTTGGCCTAAGTCTACACAAAGGATGGTTAGCATCAGTGTCAGAGGTTAACGTAAGAACCTTTGTTGTAGATTTGAACATCATCACTACCTATAAAGAGCCTTTCCCACCCACAGCTTCCTCTTCGACTTCCTTCTCAACTTAGTTGATATTTCTGGAAAATCAGAAAAAGAAATTGTCACGTTGAATGAGGTAGGGACAGGGAAAGTCACAAACTCATTAGGGTTTTGCCCAGTGGGCTGTAAGTCTCTGGGCTTAGCCACAGGCTAGTACTGAATAGCAGAGGTCCTGGAGAAGAGTGGCTACCCCAGGGGAGTATGGGAGCAGGGGAAGAGGGAAGCAGGGGAGGAGGGGAGCAGGGGAGGAGGGGAGCAGGGACAGGGACAGAAATTGGACTAAGTTATAGTTCCTAGGTAGGGGTGGGGGTGGCTCCCAGAGCCAGACTGCTTGTCCATCTTCTGCAGTTGCTTTTGGCAGGCATACTGTGTACTGGATAACAGGAAAGAGCAGATGTTTCCTGCTGTCCCTTCTCTCCCCACAATAGTTTGTAGCTTTACACTGTACTGGAGGCCTTCTAGCACAGACTCTTTTCTTCCTGTCTTAGACTGTCTTGAGGACGTTCTGAACAGTAGAAGGGAGCTGGGATGAATTTTTACTCTGGAGATCCCGATCTCTGCTGGGCTTCAGGGTTCTCAGGTATCAGCATTCTTAGTGAGCTTCTGGGCTCCTTGGAAGGGAGGGCAATGGGAGAACTGGAGCCCTTCATCCAGGGAGGGCTGGAAGTATTGATGTCTTTGGGAAACCTAAGGAAAGAAAGGGCCCACATTCTGTTACAATTTACAAATTCAGGATGAGGGGAGAGAGACAATTAACTTATGGTGAAGAGGAGGTCAAGGATCCAAGATAGGGCACTCTAGGCTGCAAAAGGGATGATCCACCAAAAGGCCCCTAAACTGTCTCAACAGGAAGGGATTGGAACTGAAGGGGAAAGGGACGGAGACACATGTGAAAACTTGTCCTAGCGAAGAGATGTGAGGACATGGTACCACGCCTGGAATGCAGGAGGTCACTCTGCCTCTGAAGCTACCCTGTGGAAGGGGGTCCAGCTAGACTTGTGCAGTCTGAGCTGGAGGGAGCTGCACTGGTCTGGGCTTCTCCACTGAGGAAGAGTTGTTAGTTTTCACCCCTTTTCTGGGGTGGGGGCGCCTTTCCAAGCATATTGCCACTAAGTAGAGGCCCCTGGAGGTCCTGGGTGTGCCTTAAAATAGTGCATGGAATTTTATCACCAGTTTTCATTTAAAATATGAAAGAGTTGGCCTTTTGATGAGAGGAGCAGTGTGGGGAAACTCTTTATCATTCATTGGAATTGCCTGAGATGCCACCTGGCCCTGGGGACGTCAGGTGAAACCTTGTTTCATAATGGTTCTCCGAAGAACCCTAGAAAATAGAGGAGGTGACCACCGATTTGGAGTGTTGAACCAGTTCAGGAATTTCAGTGTGTATTGTGGAGTAAGATGCAGGTTCAAAAGAAACACCAAAAAACAAATTCAACTATTGTGTGGGAGGAGATTTTAATTCCTAGTGAGCTAAGATTCTCATCGGTTAGATTCAGGAAACTGAATAAAATCGTTATTTTTAAAAAGGACAGTTAATAGAACTGAAAGATTCTATGCAAATACAATGTGGTTGTGTTAGGCATCTGACAAGCTCTCTATCACTGAGCCACATTCCCAGCTACCTGTCACATTTAAGAGCCTGGAAGAAGACCACAACCCGATGAACAAATGGCCTAATAAAATGATACGAGACAGTTCTCAAAAGAAGAAATGCAAATGGACAATAACATATTAAAATCATTCAACCTCGGTAAGCTTTGGAGAATGCAAATCAGGATTACACTGAGAGTCCATCTCACCCCAGAGAGAAAGTTGGCCATTAAAAAGACAAATAATAGGGCTGGAGAGATGGCTCAGCAGTAAAGAGCACTTGTTACTCTTCCAAAAGACCCAGGTTCCATTATCAGCACTCACATTGTGGCTCACAACTATTTGTAACGCCAGTTCCAGGGAATCTAATGCCCCTTTTTAGTGTCTTTGGGCACTGTACACACATACATGGTGCATCTACATGCAGGTAAAACACCCATACACATTAAAAATATGATAATCACATCTGGTAAGGATGTCGACAAAAGGGAATCTTTATACACTGCTAGCTGGAGTGTAAACCAGCCCAGCTAGGTAAACTAGTCAGTATGGAGGGCTCTCAAAAAAACTGAAAGTAGGTCTTGATTATAATCCAGCTATATCACTCCTGGGTATTTACCAGAAGGCCCCCCAATGAACACATCCTAGAGATAATTGCCATCAGTGTTTATTGCAGCACTTCTCACCATAGCTAAGTTATGGAACCAAATTAGGTGTCCAACAACAGATGAGCAGATAAAGAAAATGCAGTGCATATACGTGATGGCTTTTTTTTTTCTAGCCATAAAGAATACAAAATGATATCATTTTCTGGAAAAGGGCTGTAAATGAAGATAATCATATAAAGCAAATTAAACTTTCCCCAGACCAATTTGTGCTTTTGCTCATTTGTGATCCCTAGATTTTATAGAGATGCATCAAGATATGTGGCATGGAAGTGGAAGTGAAACTGTGTGGGGAGTAAAAGGGACTGACCAGAGAGAGAGGCGCCGAGTCACATGGTGGGAGTAGGGGAAATGCTCACCATATGCTAATATGAAAATTAAAAAATAAAGGAAACAGAAATAGTGAGATCTCCTGAACTGAATGGCAGTGAAGGCTGTGACTGTTATATATGTTTTTTTTTTAAATCCAGCCAATCACAAACTTTCAGTGAATTTCATGCAATTTAGTGGATTGTATAGAGCACATTTGTGAAATAGGAATTCTTGAATGAATAGTAACTTCTTCAGCTTGATTTTAAATACATAGCTTTTGTGATGAAGCGAAGAGTTTTCCATTTCTGGAATGCTGTTTAGCTGGAGAAATATATTAAAAGGAATCTCTAATAGGTACTTAGAAATTGCCCTTGCTGGAAAGCACAGGCTCCTCCCTTGGACCTGTAAGGTGACTCACAGTCTAGTGAAAGCCTGGCATTCTTGACTCTATTTTTGCATTGGTCTTTTCCCCTTTGCTTCAAACCTTGGGTCAGACTCCATGCTTAACTCTGCACAGAGCCATGCTAATTACCCAAGGATTGTCTGTCTGAGCTGGCATGTGACACATATCTGTAATTATAGACACGGGAGGCTGAGGCTGGAGAATCACCTCAGTTGGAAGGCAGTCTTAAAACTGTCTCTAGAAATGGTGATACTCTACGTATCTCATACCTCTTCAAGACAGAAGGAGCAAAGATGAGAGCAATCAAATCACCTCGATGTCAACTTTTACAATGCCCTGTTCACACCCCCATCAGGATCCAAAATCTGTGTTCATCTTGGATTCCAGGAACAGCACAACCTACAAAGAGATCACCCATTGTAGTTTTTTTTTTTCTTTTTGCTCTTTGAGGGCCTGCCACCCACTCCCAAATAAATACATGGAGACTTATTCTAACTTAGAATGCCTGGCTTTAGCTTGGCTTGTTTCTAGCCAGATTTGGCTAACCTAAATTATCCTGTCTATCTTTTGCCTCTAAGGTTTTACCTTTATGCCATATTTCATTCTTTCCTTTTTTTTTTAAATATTGAAACGGGGGTTTTTCTGTGGCTTTGGAGGCTGTCCTGGAACTAGCTCTTGTAGACCAGGCTGGCCTCAAACTCACAAAGATCTGCCTACATCTGCCTCTGCCTCCCGAGTGCTGGGATTAAAGGCATGTGTCATCACCAGGCCTTTCCTTCTTACTCCATGGCTGGCTGTGTTGCTGGGTGGCTGGTCCCTGGCATACTCTCTTCCTTTCCTCACTCCCTTTTTTCTCTCTTCTCTTCCTATTTATTGTCTCTGAATGTCAGCCCCACCTATTTCTCTCTCTTGCAAAACTATTGGCTGTTTGGCTCTTTATTAGACCAATCAGGTATTTTAGACAGGCAAAGCAACATAGCTTTATAGAGTTAAACAAATGCAACATAAAATAATGCAACACATTTTTGCATTGTTGAACAAATATTACGCAGTATAAAAAAATGTAACACATCTTAAAATAATAT